GTGAGAGTATGACACTGTCTGTGGGCTTAGCACACGCCTAGGTGTCAAGCCCTTCCAATCATGGAGATATAACCCTAGTATGCTAATGCAGGACCTGTTCATTTGAATTAACCTCGTTGACGAAAGACAATCAGAGAATGCGAGTCTCGTGATGAATTAGACGTTAACTGGCCCTTACAGAAGAAGAATCGCTCTCTGATATAGAGTAAACTTGACCACTGCAGTCATTTCCTAGTTCTACCAATAAGTGATGCTCTCATCCTATCAATCTACACATTCCAAGGTAATGCAGGTAAAGGTGGGATACATAAATGTCGAACCCATTGCAATGAGACAGTCTTAACTGGCTAATCTTGTTAGAAATTAAAGAAAGTCTTGTATTTTTGCAATACTGATAAGCTGACTTAGATCTGATATTGCTCAAATGAAAAGAGTTGAATTAAAGTCCTTCTGTAACAATTTGGGAACTTTATTTAAGATTTAAAGGTGTAGTCAGGCAATAGCTTGCTCGAATATTGCCGAAATAGCAGCTGGTGCTATGAGTAATAAGAGCGTGAAACATAAACCTGCTACAATAATGTAGTGTAATGCGTCATAAATTTCTGGATATTGCTGCAAATATTTCAGTCAGGAATCTTTGGGGCCAAAAAGAGTTCCCTCCATTTCAGGTTCCAGTATCCATAGATGATCCTTCAAAATAAGTTTAACCGGCCGAGTAATCGAATCCATCAACTACACGCCCTGCCTCTTCACGCATTCAGAGGGAAATTAGGCTTGATCGTCGGCATATATACCTTAAATGGAAGGGCACACTAGTCAGGACATTCCCTATATTTTGTACTTTGGTGGACTTTGGTCAAGCTCTCACACATGACTACCCTTCATCACTCCAAAGCACTGTTGATCAAACAGAGAGGATACGCAACGCAAAACATCCCATGTAAATGTACAAGAGATGTGCACTTATGACCTCGATACAAACTGAAAGCCTTCTTTTTACTGTAATGCAATTTCACCTCTACATCACCACTATCCTCTTATTTTTGCCTCCTTTGTAGCGGCTGCTAGAATGACCAGTGTGGCAGTGTAAAGCTGCTAGTTAAACGAGCTGGGGGAGAAATTTTGGGCGAAATGGAAGTATACGGTGCCACATTGTGACACCAAAAACTTTGTCGCATGACTGATCACTGTGTTTCCCCAGCCTCAGTAGCCCTAGATACTGGTTTAGAGGTCATTATTTGAGCTGATTTTGAAGGGAAAGAAACCCTTAGCCTTTATTAGTTCTTGACGAGTCTTACTGGGCTATCCAGCATTTCCCCCATAGGGATGTACTCAGGTCAACATCCATAGGTGGCTGAACAGTGGAAGCACATATCTTCCCGATCACGACAACGGTTTAAGTGTTAAGCGGTGAAATGCAGTCCACCCATTTGATACTGACATTAAAGCACTTAAATTAACATTTGTAGTAGAGGCAGAATTTACCAGAAAAAACATCAGGTTAGCCAATGTGAAGGCAAGTGAAGAGATTGACGGCCGGGTGGATAAGTAAACAAATACAAATAGATGAATAGACAGAATCTACGCAACTAATCAGATTGACGGCCGGATTAATGACAAGGGCTTATATGTCCAGAAATGGCTTGAGACGTGATACTTAGTGCTGATTTTCCACGCTACACTAAATTCGCCCTAAACTTTGCAGAAGCAGCCTTTTCCACTCACCGAGTCAATGAGGCAAATCCAGAGGAGGAAGATGACATCTGTAATGCCTTTTTAAAGCTGCAAAAATTCTTATAAACAATCTAGTTAATCTTTCTTTGCCCGACACCCAATTATTAATGACGAAAGAAGCGAACCTCGTGAGCTCTTACTTAGGCTTGCAAACATCTTCCCATGGCAAGGTGCAAAACTTGGACAAACAAATATTGCCAAGTTTACGACTAATATCGACGAAGTTAGACCCATCTAATAACCGCCCAGACGTATTTTACCACCTCTACTAGAGGGAGTGAACCATCTAGTTAAGGAGATGATTCGAGGCGAGCTTATAAAGCCGTCTGGGTCAACATGGGACTACGGTCATGAATCGACTACAGGAAGTTGAATGCCATAGCTACGAAGAATGCGTTCCACTTTAACCCATATTAAGGACTCACTGGACTCCTTACATG